GAAATTTTGTTTGTGAATTTTATTTTAAAGATTTCTCCCAGCTCCTTTAAAATGAGACTTCGGTTGTTCCTCCTTCAAAAGGGGTATCTCTTTTCTTATTTCCCTGGAATCTATACTGCCTCATAACAGAATGTGTGGGAGTGATGCTATCAGACTTCTTCAGAGAGAAAGCCTCAGGAGCTATGCACATCTGTCTCATGCTTCAGCATGCTTGAAAGCATCATGTGAGAAAGTTCACTGATCCTCCTGAGGGTGAGATTCAGATGCCTAAGGCCAGCATTGACTGTGAGGCTCCTGAAAGTTTCCAGATGAGTAGAGCCACATGAGTAAATCCAAGTGACATGAAGCTAAGAGGCTACCCAGTCAACCAACAGGACTGTGAGAAGCAGTAAATAGCTATTGTTTTAAGCCACCACATTTTAGGGCAGTAGGTGGCACAGAAAAGGAAAATTGTGAATTTGACTAATCTGCATCCCCACCTTACTCACCCCCAAAGAGGATGTGACTTCAGCAGTCCAGTGAGCACAGGGGTTTTCCTGAGAGTGGCAAAATGGGTGGAGACTTAACAGACTTAACACTCTCGTGGTAGAGTTACTTACAGAATTGTTATCTCATTGTAAAATGAGAAAACCAAAGCTTACAGATGTTAAACACTATAGGTTATAGTCAAGAGCATGGATGTTAGTAACAGACAGACATGAATTTACTCCTCACTCTGTCACTTATTTATAAGTTATATGACTTCTTAATCTCTTAATATATTATCTGTAAGAGAGAAATAGTACTAAACTATAGCTGTGAGAATTAAACAAGATCATGTATATAAAATACCTAGCCTCTTTACTGCCAGATGGCCCTTGCTCTATAAATGATGGCTATTAAACACCTGCCCAGGGTCACATAGGCAGTGAAGAACTGACACTTTTTCCATATCTTACTCTAAAGTTATGATACTTCACATTTTATCTCTAATGCTCAGCTTGGCAAACAATGGGGATCACTGTCATTTAAAGGAATCATTTATTACTCAAAAAACAAAACAAAAAAAAAGTCAAATTATCTTGCTTGGGTATCAATTCTCCTAAACCTAAATGGTTTCTGGAAAATAAAGACACAAAACATTTTAAACATCTTTTGAATGTTAGAAACTTAGAGAACCACACTCTTCCTTGCTTCCCATATGTGATCAAAAGTACAGGCAGAGAAAATGTAGATAGACATTTATGTGAGAAGCCCACTAAAAATAAACAGAGCACACTCTACTATATATTTTTAAAGACTCATCCATGTAATTCAAGATCAGTCATTTAGAAACAGCCCCGCTCTATGCCACATAGCATTAAAGCCCAGCCACTATGAAATGAGTCATCCTATAAGAGCAGGTTGGACTGAAAGCTATGTCAGAAGACACTTATATTCTCTGAAATCTATTCTTTTGGTAATGAAAGGGGTGAAGAGTTTAAACTCACCACTTATGATGTTCTGGAATGTTCTCCTAGAAAAGACCCTTACAAAATGCACCCATGAGTCAAAGACAAGGGTGTAGAACCAGGAAGACTATGAAATTGCCTCTTCTGGGACAATACGGGACTGAGCAACATTCTCCTTTACTTGGAGAAAAGGGAAAAGAAAGCTTTATTTCTGCATTAGGCATATGGTTGGCATTCACCAAGTGTTTATTAATAATAATGAGTTATGTATGCCAAACCTCCTTTAGAGCAAATTGACCCAGATCCAAATTCCACAGTGTGCCAAAGGATTTCAATGTCCTGGCAGGAAGCTTGAAGGATTTGGAACAATTCATATACAGTGCAACTTCTGCTCACACCACAGTGCATTTTCTCCTACCCACTCAGCCCCACCTCTGCCCACCCCCACATCTGGCGGGGTGGCCCATTGGAGGCCTCCACCACATGTCTTTAGTAGCCAGGGGGTGTTGCTTTTTCCTCACGTATACCAGGCATTCTGCATTTCTGACACAAGATAAATAAGATTCTAACTTGGTTCTTCCTCCTAAGAGTGTAAACAAAGACAGCCTTTATGAAAGAAAATATGCAGTGCCAGCACCAGCTACTAGATGTGGTGGGAACATTGAGTTACTTCTCCATGTTCATTCTCTTTTGCTCAGAGAAGGTGCCCAAACCTTCCCACAGGCTGTTTCCCATCTTTCTTCTCTGAAGTAAACAGGATATTCACCTGCTTCCAGCCGGATTATTTCAGTGATGGTAAAGCTATAATAGGGGTAATAGAGCCACCCAACACATCTTTCCAAGATTGCAGGCAAGCAAACTGAGGCCACAGGATTCTCTACCTTTACATCTCTCAAAGCTAAATAAATATTAGATGATGAGCACTTTGTTTGATGATGAGCTGTATTCATCGTGGATAAAACTTCAGAGTCAGCCTGCACAGCTTTGAACAGCTAGACTCATCTTCTTATCCAAAAGGAGTGGAATAAGCTTATTATCATCACTTGACTTGTTAGACAATAATGGATCTTACCAACCTCGGTGCATTTTCTTTCCCAAACATATTTGCACTAATAACTGCACAATTGCTCCTACCATCCTGAGTATGTTCCATTGTCACCATCTGCCACAGCAGGAGGGGCCATGACAGCTTTGCTCATAGGTACAATGGAGAAAATGAGTTTGTTTTGTTTTTCAATTGTTATTTTAATTTACTTTTAATAACAGTAATTTTACTGAGATCTGTTATGCATTAACATACATGGAAAAATATATTAGTAACAGCCAAGGAGAAAGGAATTTCATTTTTTACAGATGTGGTTTAATTTATTTTAAATAAGAGCATGGCTCTATCTCCTCAAATCAGCCAATAAAGTGTGCCTTCCTATGGGTCAGATACTCTTCTGTCACCCTACAAAACACAATAGTGCACACAAAGATGCAGTCCTGTCCTCATGGATCTTACTGTCAGCTTTAGAGCAGGGATTAAGTACACGTAAGTAAAATGCAATTTCAGGGCCTCCCCGGTGGTGCAGCGGTTGAGCGCTGGGTTGCGAAGCTGCCCGCAGCCTCTGCGGTGCCGGTTCAATCCCCGGCTGCTCCCCGGCCACCGGAGGAGGGTTCCACATGGCGCGCAGACCTCTCCTGCCGCCCACTGCTCCCCTCAGCGGTGTACTTCGGTCCTTCTGCCTGCTCTGCTCCCCGCTCTGGCTCTGGTGAATTCTCTCACCTTCCCGCCCTTCTGACTGTACCCAGTGCATGTATAAACAAACAAACAAATAAATAAATAAATAAAACATGCCTCTATATAAATAAATAAATAGATATTTTTTAAAAAATGCAATTTCAGTGTTGTGTTTGTTGAGCTGGATGTTGGCTACAGAAATGTGCTTAATTAGTGAAATTCAATGAATTGTACCCCTATCTCTCTAGGTATGTACGTGTATCTGTCTGTCTGTCGATAAATCATCTATCATCTACTTACCTATTTTTCTATATATCTATCCACTTGTTGACCCTTGAAGAACATGGGCTTGAACTCCATGTTCCACTTTACATGGAGTATCTTATAAACAGATGATATAAACTTAGGGTATCAGTAAATACCGGATGATACTATAAATGTGTTTTCTTTTCCTATGATTTTTTAAAAATATCACTTCCTTTTCTCTAGCTTACTTGATATATAATGTATATATACTGTAAGGAATACTGTATATAATACATATAACAGAAAATATTTATTAATTGACAATATTTTTGCACAACTTCCAGTTGAGTTTTGGGGGATCAAAGGTTACATGTGGATTTTTGATTATACTTCTAGCAGCCAAGTTATTCAAGGGTTAACTCTATATAGATAACTATCTTCATCAAAAATATATTTTAAAAAACACCTTAAAATCTAATAACCAAATCCATTTAGTTATACAATTTACATATAAATTGTATAGTTTATACAAGGGAAACAGTATTTTCCCAAGTTTTAAAGATCATGGTCCTAAAATAATCACAGCTAAAATGATTGTCTACTATCAATGAATTTGGAAAACATGAAGGTGAGGACTTCCTATGTTATGTTTTGGGGTTCTGCACAGATGCTAGTTAAAGGAAGTCTTCTGGGCTATTGGGGACACAGAAAAAGAAGTGCAGTGATCTGCTCACCAAGACTAGGTTTGGGACATCTGATCTGCTAAAAAATAAGCTAGCTGAATAGATGGCCGGGTGAGTCCAAGGAAAGTGTCCTGCCACAGTCCCGGGAAGAATCAGAGCCCCAGGTAAAGGCCAGAGGAGAGTAGTAACAAGTCCCTGGTGACTGGTGACATGGTTGTTTGAAGGAGCCTTTTCTGTTTATGTTGGGATCCCAGCCAAAGTCTGCAGGGTAAAGAGGGCTATGTGGTTCCAAAGACCCATGAAAAGAAGATGAAGGGAGGTACCAATGGCACCAAGATAAAAGATGGGGTCCCTCACCAAGAGTGGGAGAGGAGGATGGAGGCAAAGCCAATAACCAGACTACAGAGTGATATTTAACCCGCAAATGGACTGGGAGCTGGAGACTTCTCCTTCTGCCACTATAGAGTCACAGGGCTAAAAACAACAAAAAACCGAGCAAAATATTTGAAACAACAGTTTTCAGACATTCACAAAAAGCAAGCCAGAGGAAATCTCTGAGCGGTGAGGGTGAATAAACAGGCATCCTCATTCCATTGTGTACTTTATTGTACTTTGCAGATATTGCATTTTATACAAATTGAAGGTTTGTGGAAACCCTACTTGAGCAAGTCCATTGGCCCCATTTTTCTAATAGCACATGCTCATTTCAGGCCTCTGAGTGACATATTATGGTAATTCTCACAATATTTCAAATCTATCATGGTGATCTGTGATCATTTATCTTTGATGATATTATTGTAATTGTTTAGGGGGCACCAGAAAACTGAGCCATCTAAAGTGGCAAATATACTTGGTAAATGTTATGTGTGTTCTGACTCTTTCGCTGACTGGCAATTCTCTCTCTCTTCCTCTCTTCAGGCCTCCTTACTCACTGAGATACAATAATATTGAAAGTATGCCAATTGATAACACTTTGAATGTTCAAATGGAAAGAAGAGTCTGTCATCTCTTATTTTAAAACAGAGGCTAGAAATGATTAAGTTTAGGAAAACAAGTTAAGATAGACTGAAAGCTAAGTGTCTTGTGTCAAACAGGCAAATTGTGAATGCAAAGGAAACATTTTTGAAGGAAATGAAGTGTTGCTTCAAAGAACATGCATATGATAAGAGAGCAAAACAGTCCTATTGCTGATATGGAGAGAGTTTCAGTGGTCTGGATGGAAGATCAAACAAGCCACAGCATTCCCTTAACCAAAACAAGGCCCTAATTCTATTCCATTCTATGAAGGCTGAGAGAGGTGAGGAGCTGCATAAGGAAACTCTGTAGCTAGAGGAGGCTGGGGCAAGAGGTCTAAGAGCAGAAGCCATCTTCACAGTGGGAAAGTCCAAGCTGAAGCAGCAAGCGCTGAGATAATGGGTGCAGGTGCCTACACACACTGCAGATCTTCAGTGTCGAGCTAACAGCCTTCTAGTGGAAGGAGATGCCAGAGTCTCCAGGAATGTCACACTACAGAGAAGTGCGTGACTGGCTGCAAGCTTCAAAGGACAGGCTGCCTCTCTTGTTAGGGGTTAATGCTGCTGGTGACTTTCACTTCAAGCCAATGCTCACTTGCCATTCTGAAAGTCCCAGGGGCCTTAAGAATTATACTAAATCTAGTCTGCTAGTGCTCTTCAAATAGAACAACAAAGCTTGGATGACAGCACATCTATTTACAACACTGTTTACTGATTATTTTAAGTCCACTGTTGAGACCTGCGCTCAGAAAAAAAAAAAATCCTTCAAAGTATCACTGCTCATTGACAATGTACAAAGTCACCCAAGAGCTCTGAAGAAGGTGTACAAGGAGATTAGCATTGCTAATTTTATTATTTTATTAGCATGCTAATAAAACATCCATTCTGCAACCATGGTTAAGGAATCACTTTGACTGGCAAGTTCTATTTTTAAAGAAGTACATTTTGTAGGGCTTTAATTGCCACAGATAGTGATTTCTCTTGTGTATCAGGGCAAAGCTAATTGAAAGCCTTATGGAAAGGATTCACTATCCTAGATGCCACCAAGAATATTCATGATTCATGGGAAGATATCAAAATATCAACATTAAGAGGAGTTTGGAAGAAGTTGCTTTTAAGCTTAGTGGATGACTTATAGTGTTTCAAGACTTTAGTGGAGGCAGCAAAATGCAGGTGGTAGAAATAGCAAGAGGACTAGAATGAGAAATAGAGTCTAAAGATTTGACTGAATTCCTGCAATCTCATGATAAAGTTTAATGGATGAGGACTTTCTTCTTATTTATGAGCAAAGAAAAACATTTCTTGAGATGGAAACTACTCCTGTTGAGGAAGCTGGGAACATTGTTGAAATGACAACAAATCACTTAGAATGTTACATAAACTTAGTGGATTAAACAGCGCCAGAGTTTGAGAGGGTTGTCTCCCATTTTGAAAAAGGTCTGTGGTGGTTACCTGTTATCAAACAGCACCTCATGCTCCAGAGAAATCTTTCTTAAAAGGAAGAGTTTATCAATGTGGCAAAATTCATCATTGTCTTATTTTAAGAAATTGCAGTAGCCAGCCCAGCCTTCAGCAACCAGCACCCTGACCAGTCCGCGGTCAGCAACATCAAGGCAAGATCCTCCAGCAGCAAAAGATTATGAATCTCTAAAGGCTTAGATGATTGTTAGCCTTTGTCAGCAATAAAGCATTTTTAAATTAAGGTATATACATTGATTAGATTTAGGCATAATGGTGTTGCATACTTAATAGACTATAGTATTAAGAATGTAATTTTATGTGAACTGGGGAACAGAAATCTTGTGTAACTCATTTTATTGTGATATTCACTTTATTGTGGTGTCAGGAACTAAACCTACAATATCTGTAAGGTGTGCCCATACAAACAGACCATGGCCAGACTACATATGAAAATAGAACTCTGACTCACAACTTGCATTAACCAGTGTAGAAAGCCAACCTATTTTGGGCAGTAAGCTGCCCAAGAGTCCAACCTACTATCTATAGTGACCAGCCCTGGAAGATAGTGAGACCACTACTTCTAGCAACTAATCCAGATAGTCAAGACTTGATCAATAAGCAACAACTTATTCATTTTTACTCCCACTTCCAATTCAATTCCAAACTGAAAAAGCCAAATATATATTCTACCAATCAAAGAGGATGCTCTACTTTTCCACTAGTGAGCTGCTTATAGCTTCTCCACACCAAATTCCTTTAAGGAGGCCATTTGCTGTCCTCCATTGGGTAGACCTCATGTATTTCTGCATAGGGGAACGATGAGGCAAGTGACATGACCACCCCAGCTCGCTGCCTGCGGGGTGTTTTCGGGCCACAGCACAGGGAGGGTGCTGGAGAGGAGCCAGGAGATCTCCCTAGGAGCAAACAGACAAAGTGAGAGGACATCTGGAGGACAGAGGAAATGATGGGGCGGGAATTGGAAGAAGAGAGTGCTACAGGAGGTGAACCAGCCCCAGGTGCAGGACCAACAGGTTAGCACCATGGGCACCTGGAGCACAGTGCCCTGGGGAAATCTGGGAGGCAGAGAATAGCACAGCACAGGGCTACCCTGGTCTGAAAGGCCAGGGACCTAAAGCATTGATCCTCTCTCTCCCCATCCTCCAACGGGTGAGGCTGCCTCTTAAACCACTCTGTTTGGAAAATTACAGCTCTGCTGTATTTCTAATTTGCTTTCTTCCCAGGTAGGGGAGGAAGAGAGAGAGAGAATATGAGAATATGTGTGCACTGACATTACCTTTCCATTTCTAAGTTGAAATTTTTACATAATTTGTGTTCTGTTGCCATCAATGCAACAGTATTTGAGTCACTGCAGTTTTAATTGACTGTAATTAATTTCAATTTGGAGAAACTATTCTGCCAAGAGAATAACAACCAGAATGTCAGTTAAAAAAGACTATACCACTTATTCCCACCTAGTGGGAAAATAATTTTTTAAAGAGTTCTAATCAATGAACAAGTGAATCAAAATGTATATGGAGAGATGAAAAGGAGAAGAAAAATAATGAACAATGAAAAAAGATAAATGATTACACAGATAATCCAATAGTTAATGATATGCTGTCTAAGATTATTAATATAAATTCAACATAAGAATACTTAAATGAGGGAAATTACAAAAGGCAAAATTGATTTCCGTTTTCATTTTAATGAATTAATTAATATAACATTTCATTCTAACATTATATGTCTTGGGTGTTCAGTGAGAATCAACCTATGTATATACTACATTAAGTTCACCGCTAAATGTCCAAATTTATCTTTTTCCATACTATTAATATTATCCCCTTTTTCCTGATTAAGTCACCCCCAACAATAAGGCATTTTTTGTGTTAACTGGAATATATATCTCAGTAAAAACTAGATGTTGGGGAAAATAAAGAAGGAAGAATGAAAGTAAGAAAAAGAGAAGAGGGCCTCTCCTGGTGGCAGCGGTTGAGCGCTGGGCTACGAAACTGCCCACAGCCTCTGCAGTGCCAGTTTGATCCCTGGCCGGCCGGCAAGGGTCCCACATGGCATGCAGACCTCTCCTGCCACGCCCGCTGCTCCCCTCAGCAGTGTCCTCCGTCTGTCTGTCTGGTCTCCTCCCTGCTCTGGCTCTGGTGAATCCTCTCACCCTCCCGTGCTTCTAACTGTACCCAGTGCTTGTATAAATAAATAAATAAATAAACAAACAAACAAATAAATAAATAAATAAAAATCTTAAAAAAAAAAAAAAAGGAGAAGACAAAATGTCTCCAGGGAGATATTTGGGGATAACTGGAGACAATATTGGGTTGAGTGAGTTGAAGAGAGAAAAGAGTAGAAAAATGAAAATATTGTAAAACTCATGAACATCAAAGAAAAAATGAAAGTAATTAGTGCATTATCTATGTGGTAGGCAGAATACTAAAATAATGGTCTCCAAATTTCCCAGCCCTAGTTCACATGTTCTGGTAAATCTCCTTTTGAGTGTGAAAAGAACTGTGACTATGAAGGGACTTCACTTCCATGATCAGATTAATTATGTAGGATAGATGAGAGGAATTTCAGCTGGAACTAAGGTTCCTAATTAATTGATATTAAGTTGATTGAAGATGAGATTATCCTAGGTGGGCCTGGCCAAGTCAGGTAAGCCCTGAAAGGAAATCAAAGAAAAAAAGAAGCAGATGCTCTCCTATTGACCTGAAGGAAGCAAGCTCTGTGTTGCAGGGAGGGCCATGTGGCCAAGCACAGCAGGCAGCCTCTGGAATCAGAGCACTTCTGACCTATAGTTATAAGCAGCTGGACTCTGCCAACAATCCATTAGCTGAGAGAGCACTCTGTGCCCTAGACAAGATTGCAGGCTGACTGTCACTTTGATTGCAGCTTGGGGAGACACTTAACAGCGGACCCAACAAATATGTACCCAGATGACTGACCTACAGAAACTCTGAGATAATAAATTGGGATTGTTTAAGCTACTAAATTTGTGGTCATAGGTTATGCAGCATTAGAAAACTAATACATTTACCCATTTACTCAGTTCTCATCTTCCAAAGATGAACATTCTTCAGTTTCTGCCAGGTTTTAGTAGGTCTCCAGTGACTTTTAGTTGTCACTTATTTTTTCACAAATTTTGTGCAGATTTTGTAAAGGTTATTTGTGGGTGTGTCCATCAGACCCTACCACTCAGTCATTACAGGAAGCCTCAGCCCTCTAACTCCCAATGAATTCATATTTTCCCAAGCTGCCTAGAATGAACTCCTTGTTCAATCCAAAAAAGGTTTTCTTGAAACAAAGACAAAAGTATGTTTTTTGTTTTGTTTTGTTTTGTTTTGTTTTGTTTTGTTTTCTAGTCTTACTGTTCTGGAACATATAAGAAAACTGGAGTGCTAACAGGCAGCCTTCAGAAGGGACCCAGACAGTGCAGGGAAACCTGAGCCACATCCTAACTCTGCCTAAATGCTGACCCTGCAAATTTGATTTTGGTTCAAGAGAACAAACAGTTAACTTTGATGAGAGTTGCAATCTGCTCAGCTAAAATTTCCCTCCTTAGTGTTTTCCCTCTACTTCCCATAAGCCCTGTCTTTTGAACCATTTCAGCAGACATGCAAATCAGAGTCCCCCTAAGAAATGGCAGTGGCTTATTTAGTGAAGTACTTAGGAAATTTGGTTTCCCAACAACTTCTTGGGAATAAACAAGTCAAATAGAATTTTTATTTATAATAATCTATTGTTTCATATGAGAAAAATCATAGTTTGCCAATGTTTTAACTGGCTAAAAGAACAAATGAGACAATCCCATATAAATCGGCCCTAAGGGGTTTTGGGCTCACATTTGCACCGTCTGGTGATACTACTGGAGTGAATGTGCAGGAGGGGAGCGGCCAGATGAAGCAAATGGACAATTTCAGAAGACTTGTCAGTGTTTGGCTTCATGTTATATTATTTGTGGGCAGTAACAACACTCTCCAGCATCTGCTAGGAAGCTTCTTCCCCAATCTCTTCCAATCCTGCAGAATTAAATGAGTTTTCAAAGGGAAAATAACTTCCATTTCGGCATGTGGAACATTTGT